TTTAAGAAAGCAGGGCCAGCACTGTGGCATAGTCAAGCCTCGGCTTGCGATGCAATATCCTACATTGGAGTGCCTGGTTTGAATTCGACCCATTCTGCTTCCAATCCAGGTTCCTGTTAATTCACCTTAGATGGCAGTAGAAGATCGTCCAAGTACTTGGGCCCCTGCTACCCATCTGGAAGACCCAGAAAGAGTTCTTGATTCCCAGTTTCAGCCTGGCCCAGACCAGGCTGCCTTTTGGGAGAGTGAATGAGGGGATGGAAAATACCTCCCTCCCTTTGATGAATACAAACAGAAAGGGAGGGAGAAGGGAGGGAGAAGAGAGGGGCTTACCTATGGTTGCAGACTCTTCATTCCAACAACAAAAAAATGTTTTTTCTCAATTAATAATCACTGTCACGAGAAAGAGGAAACTGCTCAGCAGCAAAAATGTATTAAAGATAAAAATCCCAGATTAAATACAGCATCTGTGAATGTAAACTACTTCAGCCATTATGGAAAACAGTATGGAGATTATGCAAAGAATTAGAAATAAAAACATTATATAATCCAGCATATGATCCACTATGGGTTTGTTTGTTTTTTGACAGGCAGAGTGGACAGAGAGAGAGAGAGACAGAGAGAAAGGTCTTCCTTTGCCGTTGGTTCACCCCTCAATGGCCACTGCGGCCAGCGTGCTGCGGCTGGTGCACCGCGCTGATACAAAGCCAGGAGCCAGGTGCTTCTCCTGGTCTCCCATGCGGGTGCAGGGCCCAAGAACCTGGGCCATCCTCCACTGCACTCCCGGGCCACAGCAGAGAGCTGTCCTGGAAGAGGAGCAACCGGGACAGAATCCAGCGCCCCAGCCGGGACTAGAACCCGGGGTGCCAGCGCCGCAGGTGGAGGATTAGCCAAGTGAGCTGCAGCGCCGGCCTCCACTACTGCTTTCTATCTGAAAGAAATGAAATCAGTGTGTCAAAGAAATAACTGCACTAGAATGTTCATTGCAGTACTATTCACAATGGCCAAGATCTGCAATCCCAGGTATCCATCTACAGATGAATGAATAAAGAAAATACACAATGGAATATTATTCAGTCTTGAAAAAGAATTGCGGCCATTTGCAACAACATAGACAGAAATGGTGGCCATTATGTGAGGTGAAATAAGTCAGGCACAAAAAAGACAAATACCATACTGTCACTTATACAAGGAAGCTTAAAAAGTTGAGGTCATGGAAGTAGAGAATAGAATAATGGTCACCAGGAACTTGAGAAAGGTGCAGAGAGGGGATGGAGAGAGGACGGTTAATGGGTACAGAGGTGCAGCTGAACAGGATGAGTAACTTTTCAACATTCTACAGCACAGTAGGCCAACTATACTTGACAATATTTTAAAATAGCTAGTAGAGAGAATTTTGAAGCTTTAGTACACTGAAAAATGTCTGACAGATAATGTGAGTTATCCTGATCTGATCATTACACTCTGTATACATGTGCTGAAATATCACATACTGTGACAAGACAAAAAATAAAAAAGAGCATCTTTATGAAAAAAATCACTATACTTTTCCTTTTAATAATTTCATGGTAGAGTCATAAAAATCTTTTCATGAAAAAAAGCATCAGGACTTAGAAATTATTATTCTAGACCAGCCTTTAAAAACCCAGACAATACAAAGAGAACAGGGCAACAGTTAATTTTCCCTTCTAAAATGAAAAACTCAAGCTATACCTAAGCAAAATATCTATTAAAGAATCTTCAGGCATAATCAATTTGTATGTCAGACTGAGCAAATAAAAACCTAATTAAAATGTTTACATTTGCTCTATAATCAGTAGTTTTAGAAAATAAAGTCCGGGGTGGGGCTGGCGCTGTGGCGCAGTGGGTAAAGCCGCCACTTGCAGTGCCGGCAACCCATATGGTAGCCAGTTCAGAGTACTGGCTGCTCCACTTCCGATCCAGCTCTCTGCTATGGCCTGGGAAAGAAAGATGGCCTAGGTGCTTGGGCCCCTGCACCCGTGTAGGGAGACTTGGAGGAAGCTCCTGACTCCTGGCTTCAGATTGGCACAGCTCTGGCTGTTTCGGTTAACTGGAACTGAACCAGTGGATCGAACCTCTCTCTCTTTGCCTCTCCTCTTTGTGTGTAACTCTTTCAAATAAATAAATAAATAACTCTTAAAAAAAAAAAAAAAGACAGAGAAAAGAAAGGAAGTCCTGAGGGGCCAGTGTTGTGGTACAGCAGGTAAAGCTACCACCTGGCATCCCACATGGGCACCAGTTCAAGTGCTAGCTGCTCCACTTCTGATACATCTCCCTGACAATGGGCCTGGGAAAAGCAGCAGCAGAAGGCCCAAGTCCTTGAGTTCCTGCATCCACGTGACCCAGAAGAAATTCCTAGTTTATGATTTGGGTCTGGCCCAGCCCTGGCCATTGAAGCCATTTGGTGAGTGAAGCAGTGGGTGGAAGATTTCTCTCTCTCTAACCATGCCTTTCAAATAAATAAATCTTTTAAAAAAAAGAAAAGAAATTCCTGGACTATATCATATTGTTATACTTGACAAACAAGCATTTTGTTTATATACTAGCAGTTACAAGACTGGATAATAAGATCATGGGCTTTGGAGTCAGACTGACCTGGGTTTGAATCTCAACTGCAACACTTTATAATTGGAAGACTTTAGAAAAGTTATTTAGGCTACCAAAGTTTGTCTTCTCATTTGTAAAACAGGAACAAAACCCAGAAGGTCATAATACCAATGAATCTGCCATTATAATTTTTAAATAACATGAGTTGCCAAAATCCCACAAATAGTCCACTTCTTCAAGCCCTAGACTAAATCAACACAATCTCATTAGGAAAAGGCAGAGGACTGCACATTTTTAAAAGTTGCACAAGTGATTCTTGATGGCAACCCTGTTTAGTACCACTTTCCTAGAGCCTTGCTATCAATGCTTTACCAGAGTCCAAGGTAAGGAAGTGTCATGGACATAAACTAGTTTTAAGACATACCCCACTTTTTTATATATTGAACAGAATCATATTACAAAGTCCCATTTTAATATATTTTTCAAAACTTGGAAAAATGATTCCATACTAAAATTTTACATCAAAATCAAGTATACAATGGTACTTCAAAAAGTTTTTGGAATTAAAAGACAAGTTCATTTTGGTGCAAGAAAAATTTTGAAATCCATGCATAAGTTTTTCATAATATATATTTCCCATGAACTTTTCAAAGACCCCTCATATGCTAACTTCTTCATGTTCATTACTGAAGTTTTAATAATAGTCACTTTAAAAATATGTGCAGATGCACCAAGGGCTTTATACAACAACATATAAGTTGTCTTATCCCTATGCTATCTTTTTTAAAAATAAGTTTTAAGTTTATAGTTAAAGTCCACTGATGCATCACTAGAACCCTCCCGTAAGTTTTTTATTCATCACATCCATTTTAAAATACGCATTTTAAAAGCAAACTTACTGAAGATACTGAAAGCAAATCCAATACTCCAGACACAAACCTGAAACTCTATTAAGCCAATAATACATTTTAACCAAATATATAGCACACCCACCAAAAAAACCAAAAAACAAAAAACACCACACACCCTACACAAAGACAATCATGAACATTTTATCCCAAAAGAATCATTGTCAAACAATGAAAAAATGAAGGGTCCAGAGACACAGTCAGACTTCTTCAAAACAAGCAAAAACTTAGAACAGCTGTCAGAACTACTGTATTAGTAGCTGATCGATTTCAAGCCAGGGAGCAAAAGCAATCTTCCTTAAAGGACTTTTCTGTTGCTGCTAAGGAGAAGAGAACTGGAAGGAAAAACAAGAGCTAGGGCAGGCAATATAGACTTCATACCAGTAAAACTTTTCCTCAGCTACGTAACATGAAGGAAGCTTATGAGTAACAAGTACAACTGTTAACTTGCAAAGTGTTAAAATCAAAGCTTGTGTACAACAAAGGTCAAAAAATCATCATGGACCAGTGGCATATAATTTAGTTGAGTCCAAGCCTCAGTGCGATTTTTTAAGATAATTGTTTTTACTAGCTTCACTCTACTTACACAGAAAATTAAGTTCCCAGCACAGTGTAGCTATACACCAACAGAACTCTACAAATCTCAGTATTTTAGAGAAGGCTGCACCCAAGTTAAAAGAAATCACAGACCTCAGCTTTTTGAAAGTTGTATTTTTAAAGCCCTATAGTATAGCACAGCACAGTTCTAAAACACAACAGGTGTAAACTTGTAAATTTTTTGAAACTTGATGAAGTATCAAAATATGTAAATATTTTAACTTTTTAAAGACGTTTAACTTCACCCACTTAGTGGAATCATTGGTTCACTAGTTCAAAAATCAAACTGAAGAGATTCACATTTGTTTGAGGACACCCTTTCTATGTAATCCAATCTTCCTTCAACACTGTTTTCCTAACTATATGCACCATAGGCATATATGACGAGGCACAACACCGCTTGCATCCTAAATATATTAACAGCCTGAAGAACAGGTGCAACACTATTTAGATACATGTTTTTCCTCTAGACCTAAATCTGCCCTAGAAAGGGGCTTAAACACAACTATTCAAAAAAGTTAAATAACCCTTTCAAAAACGTGCAACAATTTTGAAAGGCAAGACAGGAGCCCCCAGCTACCAGTATCTTCCAAAAGCTAGATAACGCGGCCTATCCAAGGGTCACAGTAAGAGGAAGGATCCTCAGGACATTTAAGCCGGCTTCTCCTGCATGAGTCAGTAATGTCAGAGAAGTACGCTTTACTTCAAGTAAAAATGTTCAGTCTTCTCAGCCGTTTCCGAAATCCAGCAGCTTAGTTTGGTTTGGCTTTCTAGCGGTCATCTCGGGGCTGAGAGGGGGAGGTCTAGCGAAAGGTACTCTGAAAAGTCAAGTCCGGTGTTCAAAGCGTTGATGAGTCACTAAGTAAGGAAGAACTACAGAGAAGCCAAGGGAGAGTAAAGCAGCATCCCAGGTAAGAAAGTACTGAGGAGTAGACGGTGGGAAACGGAAACTTCACAGGTCAGCCGCCAGCCACTGTGCTTGGCGGCAGTCCGAGGAAGAAGCGTGCCTGTCAAGGGGCAAGTGCCCACCAAGTCGCGGGAAGGGGCCACCCAAGTCAAATGGGAAGGGGTGGGGGTGTCCGGAAAAAGGTGGGAAGATGCTCACCCCGGCCCCCTCCTCGGGGTCGCAACCTCAAGAGGAACAAACAAGAGCAAACTCGGGGTCCAGAGGCCCCACGCCGGACTCTCCGGCACAGAGGAGATCGGCCTCAAGTCCCGGAGGCCCGGGCAGGCCGCCTCCGGAGGAGCCCCCGCAGACGCCATACTAAAAGCCAAAATGGCTGCCCCGAGCGAGCCCGTACCGCGTAGCTAAGTGAGGGTTGGGGAACGGGCTTCTGCGGGAAAGGGGGAGGGGGACCTAGGAAGAGCCGACGCCAGGACCAGCACCCCCGAGCCGCACAGGTAGGTGCCTCCCGGCCTCCCAAGTCGCGGGCGCCGGCGGAGGAGAGCCCCGGCCCCACCCCCCGGCCGGGATCCCCGCCGCCGCCGCCGCCGTCCCGCACACCGACCCCAGCGAGGTACCTGCAGTTCGGCCCGCTCCACCTCCCAGTGCGCTCGCTCCATCTCGAACCGAGCCCACTCGTGCTGGATGTAGTGCAGGATCCCCGGGATAGTGTACTGCTGCGGCCGGGACAGCTCGGGGCCTGCCGCGGGACCCGCTCCCTCCGAGGCCGTTGGACCCCCGCCGCCCGCCGCTCCATTCCCTCCCGGCGAGAGGCTCAGGTTCGCCCCAGGTCCCTGCTGCTGCCGGGGAGGGGCCGCCATCCCCGGGCCTCCACCACCGCCTCCGGCAAGCTCGTCCATTGTGTGAGGGGCCCCGGCCGGGGCACAGGGCGAGACGCCGACTGCCGGGGGAAGGGCCGGAGAGGGTGGCCCCGCGCTGGCGGCGGGGCGGAGGCCGCCGGGAGAGGGGCGGGGAGGGGGTCGTTGCTGTGTGCCTGCCGTGGGTCAGAGCAGGGAGCTGCCGGCCGCCGCCATTACAGTCCCTCCTCCATCTGCCGGTCTCACTCACTCACTTTAGGGGAAGGGGGGGCCGCGGCGGGCGGGGGGAAAGGAGGCAGGGTTGGAAAAGGGATCGACGTAGGATCGCCGCTCCCGCACGGCATGCCGGGTATAGAACGCCGCTGCCGCCGCACGCTTAATGGCCAAATAGAGTGCGGCCTCACCCTACGCAGGCGCACTGAGGACGCCGTCCGGCCGCGGAGAGGCGGCTGCTAGGGGGCGGGGAAGGAGCGCGGCTCCTCCCCCAGGCCCGCCCTCAGACCCGTGCCGAGTGTCCCGACGCGGGTTACCGCAAAGCTGGGGCTCCAGCTCCCACTTTTGGGAGCCAGTTGGGCCTTGAACGAGAGACTGTCACTTTCCTGTTCGTAGGCCGATCCCGGGAGCCGTTACCCAGCCCGAGGGTCTCAGCCATGTGCCTGCCTTCGGAGCTGGGTTTGAACTTGGTTGATCGCTCTGGCCGGTTGCTGCCCACCCTGAATTCCTGACGTTTCTGTTGCATTCTTTGCGTGTTTCAGGCGGTCCCACAGGGTTGGGGCTCTTTCTCTGCCTGTCACTCGCTCTGTCTCCGGTTTCTGAGCGCCAGTCAGCTCCCGGGATTGGGGGACGTTCTCTTTCTGGCAGATCGCCCGGATCTTCACGGCGGTGGTGACTGGCTGCCCGAGTCGGTCCCGCTTCTGGGCGCCGGGTCGCCTGCCGACCTGTTACACTTTGCCTCCTATCCTGGGACGGGCGTGTTTCAGCGGGTGGGGAGGGGAGCTGGAAACGGTCGTTCCCCCCCCCCCTTGGGAGAAGAGGAGGTAGTGAGATCCTTTGGATTTTGACGATGGTGACTAGAAAGGAAAAGATAACTTTGAAGGAGATGGGTTACGTTTTAGAACTGAATGAGCTCGCAAGAACTTTCATTAATGATAGAATCTTTTGATCCAAATAGAAGATAAAAGCAGCATGAATATAGCTTAAAATCCTGGGTGGACGGCTAAAGATGTTTTCCTGGGTCATTAAATGTTTGAATGAATATAATATACACATAAAAGGTAAGTGTGTATAAGTACAGTCGTGTAATTTTTACGTGCTTAGTTTCCCAGGAGATATCCTAACGAACTAGTAACTTTCCAATCGTTAATACAGCTATTGATCATTTGTTGAAAAAAGGACAAAGATACTTTAACAGCATATAAAGAAAAGAGGGCCAGTAATTACAGTCATACAGGGGAACTGGGTGTACAATTAGTTGCATCTCTAAAATGTTTTTTCTTGTAAAAAACTAACAAAAGTTTCACTATGGGATGCACCATTTGGCTTGCGATTTCAAAGAGATAAAGTGGCAGATCATTTGCCTTGTTACTATAGTTTAATGGAAAACAGCTTAGACGTAACTACCCATGCTGCCATATTTTATTTATGCATAAAGTGAGATCTTAGATTGTAGTAATATTAAGAACTATTTGTCCATATTATTAAATACAGTTTTTTTTTTTTTTTTCATTTTAAAGTGACGGGATAGAACCTCTTTATTCAGTCCTATTCCTTGGGGGAGATGTGGCTCCTATCACAGAAAGTTCAGGAGTACCACCATGCTGCATGGAGTACCCCTGCCTTGCTGAGCCTCTCTTAGCGACTGTGTACCCTGTGATAGTATGACTGACTAGGAGCTACTTGTATTGTATCATGTACATCACTGGCCTGGAAAGGGTCAAAATTCAGCATTTCAAAGTATAGTATCTACTGAATGCATATCACCTTCACACCTTCATAATGTCAAAAAAATCTTGTCTAGCCATCATAAGTCAGATAGCATCCATCTTATTATAGTCTATTTAAATTGTTTATATATGCTACTCAGTAATCATGAAAGTAACACCTGCACATAATGAGTACTCCATAAATTTTTGCTTCTCTCATTTATTTATTTTTAAAAATTGTTAATTGGCTACCATTTTTCAGATGCTCTGCTGGTCCCTGATCATTCACCATGAACTCAAACATGCATGATCTCTGCCTTCACACTTTCCATTCTCATTTTATTTATTTTTAATTTTTATTTATTTTCATTTTTATTTGAAAGGCAGAGGGACAGAGATCTTCTGTCTGTGGAATCACCCTCCAAATGCCCAAAACAGCCAGTGCTGGACCAGTCCATAATTCAGTCCAGGTCTCCCACGTGAGTGGCAACAAACCAAGTACTCCAGCCATCATCTGATGTTTCCCAGGGTGCGCTTTGGCAGGAAGCTAAAATTGGAAGTAGCCAGGGCTCTAACCAGGCACTCCAGTATGGGATGCAAGCATCCCAAGCAGGGTCCCAGCTGCTATGTCAAATACCCACCCACCCCTCCAGCCTACTTTAAGTAAAGTACTTGGTACTAACCACCCTGACTTTTTCAATATCCTGTCTATATCTATCTTAAAATATCAGGAATTCCTGTCGGACATGTTTATATACACTTGCACAGACAGAGAAAGAGCTTTCATCCACTGGTGCATCCCCATCAAAACCCGCAAAGCCCAGGGCTGAGTCGGACAGAAGCCAGGAGCCCAGAACTCAATCCGGATTTCTCACATGGGCTTCAGGAAGCCAACTACTTCACTCCACTTAAGAGTGGAGCCAGGACTTGAACTCAGATATTCCAGTATGTGATATAGGTGTCCTAAGAGGTATGTTAAATACTATGTCAAATGCCTGCCCTAGCTGTGGTTGTATAAATGTCACTAATGTAATCTTTGGGTGTGGTAAGTTAAGCTTCCACTTGTGACTCTGGCATCCCCTGAGAGTGCTGGTTCCAGCCCTGGCTGCTCCACTTTTGATCCAGCTCCCTGCTAATGTGCCTGGGAAAGTAGCAGAGGATGGCCCAAGCGCTTGGGCCCCTGCGTAACTACAAGGGAAACTGGGATGGACTTTGAGGCTCTTGACTCAGACCTGACCCAGCCCTAGGCATTTAGGAAGAGAACCAGCAAATGGAAGATAGCTTTCTCTCTCTGTTTCTGCCTTTCTTTCTATCACTCTGGCTTCCAAATAAAGAAATAAATCTTTTTTAGAAAAATAATGCAATCTTCGGTGATGTTCTTCCCAAACCATAGAGTCATTTATCTAAAAGGTCACAGCTGCTTTGTTGAGGACCCATGCCCTATTGTGTTGTTTGTTTTTTTTTTTTTTTTTAAGTTTTTTTTTTCTTCTTGGGGGCCAAAGCTGTGGCATAGCGAGTAAAGCTGCCGCCTGCAGTACCAGCATCCCTTATGGGCACCGGTTCGAGTCCTGGCTGTTCCACTTCCAATCCAGCTCTGCTATGACCTGGGAAAGCAGTGGAAGATGGCCCAAGTGCTTGGGCCCCTGCACCTGCATGGGACACCTGGGAGAAGCTCCTGGCTCCTGGTTTTGGCTCCACACAGCTCCAGCTATTGCAGCCAATTGGAGAGTGAACCAGTGGATGGAAGATCCCTCTCTCTCTCTTTCTCTCTCTCTCTGCCTCTCCTTCTCTCTCTATGTAACTCTGACTTTCATATAAGTAAAAATAAATCTTTTTAAAAAAAGATTTTTTTTTATTATGTGAAAGGCTGAGTTACAGAAAGAGAAAGGAAGAAATCTTTCATCCACTGGTTACTCCCCAAATGACCGCAATGACCCAGTCTGGGTCAGACCAAAGCCAGGATCCAGGAGCTTCCTCTGGATCTCCCACACGGGTGTGGGGGCCCAATCATTTGGGCCATCTTCCACTGCTTTCCCAGGAACATTAGCAGGGAGCTGAATCAGAAGTGGAGGAGCCAGAACTTGAATCAGCTTCCATATGGGATACTGGTGTTGTAGGCAGCAGCTTAACCTGCTACACCACAACTCCAGCCCCCACACCCCTATTGTTAGTACTTGTACCTACCTGCAGTGTGTGGAACAAGATAGATCCTCAACAACTGTGTAATGAATAAATTTAGGCTAAATTAGTATGAATATTTACTTTTACTCATTTTTGTTAATATTTACTGCCATTAAACCAGCTTTCTTTTTTTTTAAGATTTATTTTATGGGGCCAGCTCTGTGGCACAGCTGGTTAAGCTGCCACCTGCAGCTCTGGCATCCCATGTGGATGCCAGTTTGGGTCCCAGCTACTCCACTTCTGATCTAGCTCCCTGCCAGTGTGCTTGTGAAAGCAGTGGAAGATGGCCCAAGTCCTTGGGTCTCTGCCACCCATGTGGGAGACCCGGAAGGCAGATTTACAGAGAGGGCTTTCATTCTCTGGTTCACTCTCCAAATGGCCACTATGATCAGGGCTGGGCCAGGCCGAAGCCAGGAGTCAGGAGCTTCTTCCAGATCTCCCATGTGGGTGCAGGAGCCCAGGGACTTAGCCCATCTTCCACTGCTTTCCCAGATGCATTAGCAGGGAGCTGGATCAGAAGTGGAACAGCCAGGACTTGAACCCACGCCCTTATGGGATGTTGGCATCACAGGCGGCAGTTTTACCCACTACACCACAACACTGGACCCAAACCAGCTGTCTCTTAAGATTCAGTGGCTTACTTCCCAAAGTATTAAAAATAAAGAACATCAAGATTTTTTTTCCTCTGTTGGGAAAATGCTTCATATTTTACTGTTATCTTTTGTGTCTGTGACTCCTGAGGACACTCTGCAGTGGGCTTCTAGAATCTTGGACTCTGTAGGTAATAAACTCTCTCAAGCCATAGTATCACCTACAACTCACCTAACTGGAATTCTCTCTCTAATCTGCGGCTGAGTCATTTCCTCTCTTAGTCTCCCCTTGGAAACCTGTTTGTTCTGTGCTTTCATCAGTCCTCTTCACTCCTTCTCCATGTTCGTAGATTCCCTCAGTGTCAGTCCACTGCTGCTGACGTTCAAGAATACAGATTTACATCTCTGATCGGCTTGGATTTTTAGGGTGTTTTTCCTTCCTGTTAGCTGGTCTTTGATACTTGTACGCTTACTCTATTTTGGGCTAGAAGGACGTGTAATACGTTTTGTCAGCAAACGTATGTTAAGGAATTCTAGACTTTTAAAGGAGTCAGAGCAGATAATCTTCTTACCAGTTATTTTGCTACCTGATGAAGAAACAGTTTGGACTGTGCCTTTGAGAACTGTATGATTCCCTGTAATTACTCACCAAAACATATAATTTCATACCTTGCTGGCCATTTACCCGACATCCCTCTATAAAAGAGATCAAACTGACTCACCAAAAATAATTTAATCATCATTTTGACATAGTTTGTGACAAGTATTCTTTTTTTAAAGCTCTGCTTATTTTATTTGAAAGAGTTGGGCGGGGGGAGAGAAAAAGAGAAAGAGAAAAAGAAAGAGAAAGAGAAAGTCTTCTATCCATTGGTTCACTCCCCAAATGGCCACAACAGCCAGGGCTGGGCCAGGCCAAAGCCAGGAGCCAGGAACTCCATCCTGTTCTCCACATGGGTGGCAGGGACTCAAACACCTGGGCCACCTTCTGCTGCTTTTTCCAGGGCATTAGCAGAATGCTGGGTCAGAACTGGAGCAACCGGACATGAACCGGCGTCCATATAGAGGCTTTACTCTCTGTACCACCATGCAGGCCAGGTGAGAAGGATTCTGACTTCCATGTGGAGAGAGAAGGCTGAGATGATTTCTTGGTCACTTCAGTCCTTGGCAGAATAGGAAGGGTTTCCCACTCCTGCAACATTGAGTGTGTATGTGAATGTGGAAATGAGAAATAAGATCTCCTTTCACAATTCTGCCTCTTACTATCCTAGCAATGGGCTCAATATTCCTGTTTCTGTTTTCCAAGTCATTTGCATATTTGCAATTATTTTTATGTGGTTTCAGGGCAATTCATGCAGAACAAACAAAGATGCAAACTGTATAATGCAGACAGAACAGAAAAGAAGGAGGCAGCTTTGACCTGCACCGTGGTTTAACCTGCCAAATAGGGTTAGATATTCACTTCTCATTACAGTAATTGTCCGAGGCTAAGAAAATTGTAGAAATACATGCAGGACACTTGAACCATTCGGAT